GAAATCATACATACAAGGAACACTATACAGACTGAGCAGGTTGTATTCAGGGTGTGTGTGCATGTGTGTGTATGTGTATGTGATACCAATTTTAAAAAAAGGTCATGAGCCAGGCAGTGTGGCACATGCCTTTAATCCCAGCACTTAGGAGGCAGAGACAGGTGGATCTCTGTGAGTTCCAGGCCAGTGTGGTCTACAAAGCAATATCCAGGACAGCCAGGACTGTTACACAGAGAAATCTTGTCTTCAAAAATCAAAACCAAACCAAAACAAAAAAAAACCCCAAGACCTTGAATTTAAAAGAGAGCATGGGGTATGGGGTATGTATGTATTCAAGAGGAAGGGAGAAATGTAATTATATTATAATCTAAAAAAAAAAAAGTGAGGCCAGGCTCATCACTGTGCCTGCTCTTAGTGACATGCTTCCTCCAACAAATATGTGTCCTAAAAGTCTCATAATGTTCTCAAACAGCATCACCAGCTAGGGACCAAGTGTTTGGTACATGAGTCCACGGGGGACATTTCTCATTCAATCAACAATGTATGGGCCATTAGCTTTTAAAATGTTTTAATTGAAGTAGAATCATATCACTTAGACCTCCCCCTTTCCTCCTTCCAGGCCCTCCCATGTGCCTCTCATCTTTCACGCTGATAGCCTTTTTTCTTTGATTATTACTGTTATATGCATATGTAAATATATGCGTATGCTCAAATATATAATTGCAACCTGCTGAGTCTGGCTTTGTTGTTTCTGTGTATGCGGTTTCAGGGCTGACCACTTTGCATTGGACAACCAATAAAGGGACTCATCCCTGGGAGGAGCTAATTCTTCTCCCAACAGTCATTAGCTGTCTGTAGTTCTTTTGAAGGGGTAGGGCCCTGTGAAATTTCCCACCTTCCAGTTGTTATGCCCACTGATGTTGCCATTGTTCTGGTCTTGTTCATGCAGTCATTTTTAGGAGAGAGACTGTCTCGCTGCGAACTTTCTCGAATTCTGGCTCATAAGTGCTTGCTTGTTTTAGGAAACAGGGTCTCCTGTCATTCAGGCTGGTCTTAAAACTACTGTGTACTTTCATTCACCTGCCTCAGCCGCCTAAGTGCTGCGTATGTCTTATAAACAGGTATTAAGGAGTAAAAACACACTGCTTCAAATTTTCTTACAACGGTGGGTTGCATAAATTAAAAATTATCCTTCAGTTTCGTGAATTTAGGAAATTGCGAGGTGAGGGCTAGAGAGATGGCTCAGCAGTTAAGAGAATTTGCTGCTCTTGTAGAGACCTGGATTTGATTTTCACCCCTTATGGCAGGCTCCTCACAGCTGCCTGTAACTCCAGTTCATCCATTGCCCTCTGCTGGCTTCTGTGGGTACTGCACTCATGTGCAACCCCAGCCCCCACTGAAAAATTACTTGAAAAGATGAGTTGGACATACATGAATGGTTATTCCACTTAATGTTTAGGTAAAATTGTAAGTGGATAGGATCGAGGGACCTTGTGAGCAAAGTAACTACCCAGCGTTAATAAGGACAAGAATAATTTAAACGTTAACTAAAACTTGTAACTTAATGGTTCTTCTGAATGATGCGTGTTTAGTGGTGCAGAAATAGCATGGAGCCATGTGTTATTTTTAAGAGATGATATTTTCTTATAGTTTGCCTTTATTTACTTTTGTTCCTAAAGACATTTTCTCCCAGATGTCGGATTCCAATGGCTTGATGATGTTTGGCAAGCTTGACCAGTTTCTGAAGGAAGCCCTGAAGCTGCCTACAGCTGTCTTTGAAGGACCGTCCTTTGGTTACACGGAACATGCAGTCCGCACCTGTTTTCCACAACAGGTAAGAACCATTTACAGAGCCTCGGGCTACAGGGACCACCATCTTCTACCAGATTCCCCCGGTGGCTTCCAGAAGGCAGGGGAGGGGGCCAAAGTTCACCTGAGGACTCTTGTTCTCAGGTAAGGTAACACTGGACTTCTTTTAAAGAAAAGTGTTTTTAAGTTTTTCATTATTGTGACTGAATGTGTGTTTCTTCTGTTTAAGTAAGGTTCTTTAATTGTAAGTACGGGATTTTGACCTAAATCTTAGCGATCTTGGTCACTGCTTCCTGCACGGCGCTCACATGCCCCTGCAGAGTGCACAGAGCTTGCTCATGGCATGGTCAGGAGTTTGGCTGCTTTTCCTGGTTTTTACCTAGAGATTGGTATGAGTGATAAGTGTGTTCCTGAGAGTTTAACTCCGCCTCAGAGACTGGGGATAGAGTAGATACTCATGAACTCAAGGTAGAGAACAGATAAAGGAACTGTAATACTGTGTGTAGAAAGTTAGGAGAAACAGAAAATTATGGGGGGAAAATCTGTTTTCAAATCAATAGAAAAAGTTATCTTCCTATAACATGCTTTTTTTTTAAAGTTTAGTTTTATTCTATGTGCGTTGGTGTTTTGCCTGCATGCATGTCTGCGTGAAGGTGTCAGATCCCCTGGAACTGGAGTTACCAACAGTCGTGAGTTGCCACGTGGGTGCTGGGAATTGAACCTGGGTCCTTCGTCCCCTTGACCACACTTAACCTTCAGCCCCCAGAAGATAACTTCTTAATTACCAAAGGGAACAGTAGCTTTATGGTTGGAAAACTCTACCCGACAGGAGGTGTGACTTCGGCTCTGCCATCGGTCATATCACCAGTAAAGGGAGACGCTGACAACTGAACGTCTCCCCTGCTCAGACCTTCCTCTGAGATCGCGCAGCTGGAACAGAGGGCTGTGGAAATGTCCAAGTATGAGTGCTCGCTAACCTGTGCAAACTTTCCTTTATCAACTGTATTTTCTGTCACTGGTATCAAGTGGCAATCAGCACCAGCTTTTAGCATAGTAAAGCATCTGCACTCTCGGTCTGTGCTAATAAGACATAGCATGCATTACCCCCCAGTATACATCTGCAAATGAAACGAGGCTCTCCAAGCTCCTGCAGATGCTAGATCCCCTTCCTGGGTGAAGGCAGTGATGACAGGATACCAGGCCCACAGATGGCTCTCCTGGGCTAGCGTGCCTTCCTGCTGCTGCCTGCAGCTGTTGCTCCGAGCGCGGTTTCCACAACTGGCTGCCCACACAGCACTTCAGAGCTGTCTTACAGGCGATATGCACATGACTCTTACACAAGATGCTTCCTGAGGCCAGGTTGGACCCTCATTTAGTTCCGGGATGCTGTTTTGAGTAAAATGGTGGCAGAATCGAGGAGAGAAGTTTATAAATAAAGTACCAGTGAAGAATGGTATCTTTCAAGTGGGTGTCGGGCATTAACCCTAAAGTATTCTTTGACTTAATTGTGGTTTAAAGACTATGACAAGAATCTGATATTGGAGTCATATTGAGACTGTTGAAGGAACTTTATAAATTGTAATTGCTAATTCAAAGAATACTATAAGGTTTCTGTAGATTACCTTAGAAGTGCTCATTGCGAGGCGTCTGAGCACCCAGCCTGCTTATTGATTTTTCACCTGCTTCAGATTCCTAACAAATAAAAGCAGCTGGCAGTGGTGGTGCACGCCTTTAATCCCAGCACCTGGGAGGCAGAGGCAGGTGGACCGCTGTGAGTTAGCTACAGAGCGAGTTCCAGGACAGCCAGGGCTATGTAGAGAGACCCTGTCTCTAAGCCACCCCCCCAAAAAAACACAATTTAGACAATACATTATATAGACAGTAGCGTGTTTATGTCAGAATGACTGCGACAGATGTTTTTGCACAATGAAAAGTATCTTTAAGACTATGAAAGGCAGCGTGAGAAATTTGATAGTGTGCACTTGTCCTCACACCTTTATAACTTGTATTTGTGTTTTACTGAAATTTGTTTGATGAGGCTGTCCTTTTAAACTGAAAAAAAAATCTTTCAGCTGTCAAACTACATCAGAGACTTTTGAGAAGGATAAAATTTTACTTGAGTTACTGATTAAAAAACGACAGAGAACTTACTTGGTTGGCACTTAGAGCTACTTCTCAGGGTCCTCCATGGTCGCTGAAGGTCGTATTTGCCTTTTGCTATTTAACATAGGGCCTGCCAGGCTCCAGAAGATCCTGTGGACTAAGAAGTCTGTAGGAAGACAAGCCTACCTTGACCTGAGCAGCTAGGCTGTTGATTGCAGTGATTCTGTCCACTGTCTGGAGATCTTTAGTTTAGATGAAGGGAAGTTTTTCCCAGTGGTCAGTGCTTGGCAGTTGTAGCAAATTGCAGATGGATGTTGTTCTGTGCCCATTTGTCTTCTGTCTTCTTTGGAGGAAGTAGAGAACTGCTGCTAGGAGCCAACCTGTCTCTTTTTGATATGAAAAGTATTTTGATAATTAAATATTTAAATGCCATATTCCCCAGATCTCTGAGCAGTTGAGGGCTGTTTACTGGGTAGAGATGATTTATACCTACAGTACAGAATCCCTGGAGAGCTGGGTCCGAGCTTGACTGTACTGGCTCTCAATTTAACAAGTAAAGCAGGGTTGAATTAAATATAAAATATTTTTGTAAGAGACTTAAAAGTACATACCAGTTTAAAACATGAGACTTATTGCTTTGTGGTCTGGAATGAGCTACAATGAACAGACAATTATAACATTTAACAGTAAACATAGGTGCATGTAAGTTACACACACACACACACACACACACACACACACAGAGTGAACAGGAATTAGGCAAAGTGGATGCTTTGGTGGGCCCTACCAAAGGCATGCCACTGTACAAAACACACATGCACCAGAGTCAACACAGGGAACCAGGGAAGGAATACCTCAGTAAAGATGGCAGGACTTGGTCACCTGACCTGGCCATCAGTTAAGATGGTAGTAAGGTCATCTGACCTCAGTTAAGATGGTGGTACGGTCAGCCTGGAGAGATGGCTCAGCCGTTAAAGGCTAGGCTCACAACCAAAAATATAAGACCTGACCTCATTCAAAATGGCAGCGGTCATATGCTGTATGGAAAAGCCACATTTTTTGAGCCGTGGGAGTTTTAAACCTAATAACAAGAGATACCTAGAGGTGTGATCCGATCTGTCCTGTCGCTGAGCTGCCACACCATAAGCTGCAGTGGGGAACAAAGGCTGGAATTGAAAACAACTGTCTCAAGGATCCGACCAATCTTGTCAGCAGCGGTAGAGGTGGCAGGGACAGTTTGAGGACAAACAGAGCTAGCAGGACACCGGTGGAGCATTTACAGGCAGGTGACTGATAGTTTGAGGGTTTCTACCATAACTGAAAATGTGAAGACACCACAGGGCCTGTAGAAGAGCTTCCCCTGATGTCTCTTCTCTTCAGGCGGGGCGTTGGAGCTAGAGAGGCTAGAGGCTGCTCCGAGTGGTCTCTCACGGAGGGGACCACTTATGAGTAGTCCAAAAGAGAAGAAAGGAAAAGAAAAGAAAAAGAAAGGAGAAAGAAAAATCCGAGGGACCTGGGCCCCAAATCGAATGCACCACACAGCGTGTGCAGTGCTAGCACAGGAGGATCAACCCTGGGTAGTCTGGTCACATTTTTAGCTATGGAAAGCAACCAGAGATGAATGTCAGCGAAGGGCTCAACCATAGACGTAAAGGTTGTGGTTGGCTGACTGGAAGGGGAAAACTCACCACCAAAGCTGCTGGTGTGTGTAGAGGTCAGCGTTAGGGCAGATACAACGCAGAGCTGTTGTAAAGAAACCTGGTTCCAGAGCCCAGGGTTCCACGTTTTCTCAGCTGGCCCATCTGCGGGTGAGAGGGAACATGGAGAGATCTTGGCCAAGTCCCAAGCACCAATTTTATCCTCCTCAAAGATCTCTGCTGCAGTTTGACAGCTGAGAGGTTTTGTCAGTTTAAAAGGACAACCTCACCAAACAAATTTCAGCAAAAAACAAATACAAGTTATTAAGGTGTGTACCTGTAAGTTATAAAGGTGTGAGGGACAGTGCATGCCATCAAATTTCTCTCTCACACTGCCTTTAAAGATACTTTTCATTATGCAAAAATATCTATCACAGTCATTCTGATATAAATATACTACTGTTTAAAACTTATGTTTTCACAAACCCCAATAATTCTTGTGAGTTCCAGGGAGCTGAATTAAAGGATCCATCTTAAACAGGTCAGATTCTTCTCAGTTCCCTGGTCCTAAATATTTTTTTTTTCCTAGCCTTAACTACCCCCACCCTCCACTGAGGCAAGCAGATCTTCCTTCTGCTTCCAGTCTGAGTTCCTTCCTTTCTGTCTCTCTCCCAAAGAGGTCGCTGCTGCCGTGGCTCCTCTCCCCTACCCCCTTTCTGTCTCTCTCTGCCTCTTTCTCCTCGTCCCCCTTCTCCCTCCTTTCCTCTCCCCTTTTCCCCTTCTCCCCTTCCCTTCCATAACCCAGTAAATAAATATCCAACTTCACTCTGCATGGGGTGCCAATCTGTCTTGGTCTCTCACCCAGCACACGGCTCCCTGCCTGGGATCCGCTTCCCCTCATGGCCCACAGGGCCGTTTTATTTTTACCATTACAGAAAGAGTGGATGTCCAGCTTTTACACATTGCAGCTTGACACGGTCTCTGCAGATGTGTTGCAGACTGGGCATGCCTGAGGAGATCCATGAGATACTTCCCTTTCTGCAGCATTGTCGTGGCAGAACTGCAGCTGCAGGTGACAGGGCAATGATAGCACTTCCTCCTGCTGAAGTACAAGGTTATGAATCATGATTCAGTGTCTAGTTGGATAGGACTGATCCTTATGGGAAATTGTTTCCCTTATGAAGAGGGAACGAAGTATAGGATGTAAGCCTTAAAGTTTTTTTTGACCGATTCTTAGCGGTCATAAACAGACAAAAACAAACAAGCTGAAATTAGAGGCTTAAAA